GGGGGGGGTGAGTGGCCGCTGTCAACACTGACAGGTTCACGGTGGGCTCAGGAACGATGAAGATTCTTGACAATGTGTCACGCATGCTCCGCGCAGTCCGCGCAGTCTCTGCGCATACCTCAGCCCAACCGAGACATCAACAAGTCCGTCGCAACGCCCCGTCAACGCCCTTGCCGTTTGCGAACAAATTCCTCACGGCCACATTGCTACCTCGGCCGGCCCATGGTGTAAGCCCCGGCCTGCTGGGACCAGTCTTGCTGGCCAGGTCCATGGTGGCTTGGCCGATGGCTGGAATGCTGCGCAAGGAATGGACCTTCACTAGACACCAAGCGCGTCTTATTCTCCCATAAGCCATCATATCCCCATGACTGACTGGCTGCCTACCACCTCTACCGAAATCAAGAGCCACAAAGCTCCCGCGATCGATCTTGTTGGCACCAGGCCGGCGTAAAGACCGTGGGTCAACAGCCGAGCTGTCATTCCCAAGGGAGGCGCATATGGCGTGTATGCGGACGCAGAGCCAAAATTCTTTGAGGAAAGGCTAGCGGCGCACATTGTTCGCCCTAGCCTCGGGAATGCAGCTCAGTCTATTGTCATCCTCGACGCAAGCGGAAGGCACGCGAAAATTCAGAGATAGCAACGGAACACTCGAATTCGATACAAGAGCCCTCAAAGAATTCCATTGTCACTTGCCTGTGTACTACGTAGATAGGGCAACTTATTGCTTCGAATCATTCATCTTCATCTTCATCCTGGCCATCTTCATCCTCGTCGTCCTCGTGCGTGATGAAAGGTACAAACCGAAAGTCCAAGAAGCTTACTCCGCCGCCCTCCACCTCAACCATGAACTGCAAGCTTAGAACGCCCTGGGCGTCGCCTCGGAAGCTAATTTTGCTAGCGATCCGCATCGCCTCGCTCGAAGACTTGATCAGATCAAATTTGTACGTCTGGGTCCATCGATCCTGGATAGAGAACGTCTCCAGTAGCTCACGGCCTTTGGCAAAATCCACGCTGGAAGACCCCAGGTCGCCAGCACCGGAAAGGGAAAGGTAGGGTTGGCTCTTCGAGGCTGATATGGTTAGGCGGCTGGGGCCGGTGGGCGCAAGCTCGGCCAAGGCGTCGAGAAGGTAGCGCGCCTGCATGATGATTTTGAAAGAGAGGTTCTCCCGGTCAAAGGGTATCTCCTCTGGGATTTCCGGCAGATAGGTCGTGAGGCTGGCGGTAGTTTTGACGCCGCTTTCTTCGATTATTATGTTGAATTGGCCGCCCTCTTCAACATATACCAGGCTGCAAGTCCCGCCAATTCCCAAAATATGGTTACTAAACGCATCTGGTCGGTAGTTGCGGAGATTGCTGCGGTACGGGTCCTGCTCGGCCTTTTGCGTGCGTGTTGCGACATCCACGGCGCCAAAAATCTGAAGTGTTTCGAGGAGCGCTGGGAGTGTAATTTGGAAATTTGGCAATGGCTCGTCCTCCGCAAGATTCAGAGAGTAGGAGGTGAAGAGCTTCTTGTCGAGGAAGGCAGTACCTAGACCATGGTCAATATTCCTGCCTTTCATAGCATCAATTGCCAGACTTGCCTTGCATGACCCTGGACAGATCCGCGGCGAACCTGATGCCATCTTCCTGGAGTTGAACATGGACCTTGTTGGAGAAGCTGATGGTCCTCAGCAACTGGTATAATGGTCTCGTCGAGCTGGCCACGGCACGGAACAGCGGCTGCGGTACCGCACTAGGTTGGGGAAGAGCAGCCGACATGACTTCTACAGGCGTTGAAGGTCTGAGTATATGAAGGGTCACCCGAGATGGAGAGATTGGTGAAAGGGAAGTTCTTGGTTGTTTCTAAAGTACAAGGTCGCCGCCGACTTTAAAGCTTCCTGGGGTATCTTAGACGTAGACTCCGACTGCGCAGAACATATAAACCGTGCCGAATCTGAGGGCAATGTAAGTTTAAGGTTCTCGACAGAGGTGATGGGGGCAATCTGGCTTACGCAATTGCAGCTGAGGCAGGCACACCGAGCGCTGTGATGTTGATGAAGGACCGGTCTGTGTCGATGGTCAGGTGATGAATATTGATAGAATGTGTTTGGCCAAAGCTTACTCAGAGCAAAGAATCCAGTAATCGCAACGCCAATGAGGAGAAGGAGAAACGCAATGAAGAATTGGGAATCCTTGGCGACAGCGGGTCGGAACGGCGTGCTAGCAGCAGCTTGCCAGACCTCAAGCAACGAGGAGTCCATCTGCTGATCAATGGGAAGACAATTGGTTAATTGTTCAGTCGTGTCTGATTCTTTTGCGTTAATTGCGTAGAAATTGGGCCGGGCCGTTGGAAAGGGCTTGCACAGAGTCGTGAATCTTCAGATGTGTCTGGAAAGTGCTGTCAATGAATCGTGAAGTGTAGACCGAAGCTTCCCCAAACGTGTTCTGAGCTCCAAAGGGTCCCACCGTGAATTGTGGCCTGAACCAAAATGGCTTAGCTCCATCCCACTTTCCCCTTGTGCATAGACCCACTTGGCGCCATCCGGCAACGGAGAAACGAGGGAGCCTAGCGCGGCATGTCATCAACCGTCCAGGAACCACCACGACATCCATCGGCAAGGTTCATCGAAATAGGCCTGCGAAGGCTCGCGATCGAGGTCAAAATGAAGGAAGAGAGTGAGTTGCATGGTTTCTTCCAAGCGTGTTGCCCGAATTGTGGGCTAATTCCGCGCCGCAGCCACGAAGCGCAAGGCTGAAGACGAGCCATCGTCCCCGATCGCGTCGAAACGGGTCAAGCACAATGAGTCGGCCGAGCCAGAAAAGAAGCCGGCGATGAAGCCCATCCCCTTCCCTGAAAAGGTGAGCCCTTACTTCCAAGGAGCGTCGCGATATCGCACAACTAGCCCTGGCCACGCGATTCCTATCCGCACCTTCCATCTGGACCCGCTGAAGCTGACCGCGAATTGCGACAGCCCGCTGTCATCGAAGAGCGCACCGGCGAGATCGAGTTCCGGGTAGTCAACAACGACAACGAGCGCGAATCCCTCATCATCCTCACCGGACTCAAATGCATCTTTCAGAAGCAGCTCCCCAAGATGCCAAAAGACTACATCGCGCGACTTGTCTACGACCGGACCCACCTGTCCATCGCGATCGTCAAGAAGCCCCTCGAAGTCGTCGGCGGCATCACCTACCGCCCCTTCAAGGGCCGCCAGTTCGCCGAAATCGTCTTCTGTGCCATCAGTTCCGATCAGCAGGTCAAGGGATACGGTGCGCATCTCATGTCCCACCTCAAAGACTACGTCAAGGCGACGAGCGATGTGATGCACTTCCTCACCTACGCTGATAACTACGCCATCGGTTATTTCAAGAAACAGGGTTTTACCAAGGAGATCACGCTCGATAAGAGCGTCTGGATGGGTTACATCAAGGATTACGAGGGCGGTACGATCATGCAGTGTTCAATGCTACCCCGCATCCGATATCTCGAAATGGGGCGCATGCTCTTGAAGCAGAAGGAGTGCGTCCAGGCTAAGATTCGCGCTTACTCAAAATCACACATCGTCCACGCTCCCCCGAAAGAATGGAAGTCTGGCGCGAAACCGATTGACCCGCTCAGTATCAACGCCATCCGCGCATCAGGCTGGTCCCCCGACATGGACGAGCTTGCCCGGCAGCCCCGCCATGGTCCCAACTATAACCAGCTCCTCCACCTCCTCAATGACCTGCAGAACCACCAGTCGGCCTGGCCCTTTCTCGTACCCGTCAACAAGGATGATGTCGCAGACTACTACGAAGTCATTAAGGAACCTATGGACCTCAGCACCATGGAGACCAAGCTCGAGGCAGATCAATATGCCACACCAGAGGACTTTACCCGCGATGCCAAGCTTGTCTTCGACAACTGCCGCAAGTACAATAATGAGTCTACGCCGTATGCGAAGAGCGCCAACAAGCTGGAGAAGTACATGTGGCAACAGATCAAGGCCATTCCCGAGTGGTCTCACCTCGAGCCGTAGAAGGGCTCGATGAAAACCAAGAAGGGCGATCCAAAGAAGGAAACACCGAAGCTGGAAACTCCAATGCATGGTGAGACTACAACGGGAGGTTTCAGGCGGCGGTCGCATAGAGTGCGACGTGTGTCGTAGGCTTGGTTGGTCACGAAATGCAACGAAAAAAATCGGATTGGGCGGGTTTGACGCTTTAAGGAGTTGGCGTTGGGTGGCGGCTGTAATTTCTCTGTTCGATAAGGACTATCAGATAGAGCTTCTAGGAAGATTACTAGCAGTGTGCCTCAAGTCTGGCCGGTTATGGCTTTTTGGAAAGTCCGCGATGCTTTTATCAAGCCAACGACTAAATTGAGAAATTTCACCAGACATCGCACTTGGAAATTAACGTCGTTGCTGTTCAGTTTCTGTTCATCTCACGGGCGTGAATTGACTTATTTCCGGATGACACGTCTCAGAAGAGGGTGGTCAGGCTTATCAGAATTAGCACTTTTGCAACTAAGGTCTCTTAGTTAGATACAGACGGCCTCGTTGGGTACGGGCCTCGAAATGCAGAGCGTTCTCGTTTCCTCGTAATCTCTTGTGCTCGCTCATCCAATCCATTGCAAATCCCACAGAAACATAAACGCAATCCTTCCAACGCCGAAATGGGGAATAACCGAGTGATGTGTAGTAGGGTCGTCGCTTTATTGGAGCGATCCTCCCCATGCCCAGAAACTCAAGGAACTCTAGTATGAAAATCGGATCAGACTGAAGAAGTCGCCTCTTCGGCTGAAGGCGTGGGTTGGGGCGCTTGCGCAAATGGGTGCGTGGTAACCGTTGTCGAAACCAAGTTTGATATTCTCCGCAATCACCGGTTTGACATCGGGGCCCAGTTCCACAATCCAGGCGCATCGCCCCAAGTGCTCGGGTCGTTGATGGAGAAAGTTGGTGGGGTAGGTCCGAGGAAAGAAGCGTGGTAAGCAGCGAGATCAAAACCGACGTTCGGTGCGTTTCTACGCGGTACTAGTAGCTCATGCACAGTTCGAGATAACTCTTGCGCAGTAATCGCACGCGGTCCATCAACGAATGTATCCGGCCCAAGGAAGGGAAGTTCAGGCGCCGAAACTTCCTAGGCGCCAGGTGCCTGTGCCGTCCTCTGCAAATTTGGGCTAGCTGCGCTGTCGCCAACAGGGAGACGCAGATCGGAATATGTACGTCTCCAATTTGTGATTCCGCCAATGTGATGTTCGTCAGTACCTCTTCGTTCCCGGGCCGCATTGCGGCTCGACATGGAGGGCAAGCGAGGTGGTGCTGCAGTCTCCTCGCCACTGCTGGAGTTCTGATTCTCGAGGGTACGGCGAATGATATCGTGAAGGAAGTCGGGTATATCTTGCCACTGACCAGCGCGTGCAGCGCTCAGCATGCGAGGGGGAAACAGTGCTTGCGGCACAACTGCAACTGCCGCAGGATCAGCCCTTGACGGCGAGATATCGTCGTTTGAGAGATATGGCAGCTCGCCGCTCTCGATGACGTTCTTCAGCCACTGCTCCCACTCCTCGTCCAAGACGGTAGACGTTTCTCCAGCCTCTCGTCGTGCTGCCCTCTCTCTCAATCGCTGGTTCAATGCAACACCGACGCTCTCAAGTTCTTCGTCACTCTCCTCGCCGTCCATATCCTCGTCTCCAGGATCAGTTGCATCATCCGTATCCACAGTCCTAGATCTAGGGTTTCGAATCGGGGCAGCTGGACGGTCCTCTGGCTCAATCCAGTCAGGGAATCCGTCACCCGCAGTGTCTCTGATGGAAATGCCTTGCTCCTTTTCATAGCGCTCCTTGGCCCATCTTGTGCCCTCCCACTTGGTCAGACCCGCAATCTCGTTGGGGGTCAGACGGAGGTTGTCGAACGCTCGGAACAAGCGGCGGTGCCAGGTCCAGCGACTTAGGCGGATGCGATGGATAGGATTGCAGTAGTCTAAGCCCGGGTACTTGGCTTCTTGGGTGTCGAGGTGGCCGTAGAAGGAGTGAACCTCTTGGCGAACCTCTAAAATCAGGCTGCGCTGTAGAAGGGCATGGAAATTTTGAGGATCGCTTGCACGAGGCTTGGGAAACATGTGCTCGTAGACGAGCTGGTCGATGGGACGGCCCTTCATCTTCGAGATCGGCTATGAGGGGTCAGGAATGGTACCTGAATTCGGCGCAACAGGCGTACAATCGAGTGGGATGTTCGGGCAGCCCGCAATAAGAGGGTAGGCGTTAATAACGCAGCCTCTGTATCGTGCTGTTGGTCCGCTCACAGATTGCCAGTATAAGGCAGGAGCTGATAGCGGTCGCGGAAAAAGCCGAAGCGTTTTCGTGAAGGCTCAAAATTTTCGGGCGACCGATTTATTGAGTCGTACGTCACGGCCAGGGAAAGAGGGGGGTTCGGGAAGGAGCTAGGGGCCGATCTGTCGCCGTGTCGTCTGAAGAAGGGAGTTTGGAAGGTGAAGCGGTCTGCGCTTCAACGTAGGCTATAGTCGTCGTGTCCGTGTGGAGGATGTAGAGGTCGATTTTTCAACGAAGGGCAATCGAAGACGGAGGAAAACCGTAAACATGGGAGAGTGTGAATGGGGAGAAGTCGGAAGTCGGCGGCGAGAGGCGGGTAAGGTGGGAGGGTGAGGCGAGGGCGTGTTGCGTGAGCGTTGGTGAGTTGTGATGGGGAATCCAGGTGCAGGGTGTGGATATTTGATCGTGGCCCCTGTCGGGTGGGACGAGGGCGTGGGACGGGGATTCGGGCGCGGGCTCCTGAGAGAAGGAGACGCGAAGACGAAGTACCTACCCCGTATCCCGACCTTAGGTAGTTATTGACTGAGATGGTGTCCCTTCCCCGGGATTGCTTGGAGAGTGCGGCGGTGACTGCGGCGGGTGCGGTTGGAGTGTCGAAGGTGCAAAAAAGATTGGACAACTGGGATTTGGGCTGGACCAAGAATGCCTTGGCTGACAAAAATAAAACAGGAGACACCACCCACCACCTCCTTCCTTCGAGGAAGACAAACGACCAGCAACTTCTCTAAGAGTTCCCGTCTCTCGACATGACTGGACCGTGCTAGTTTGTGGTGCCTGCCTCATCTGCCACGCCCTATAGTAGGTAGTGCCTTCCCACCGAGCCTACCGCAAGGCGCCTTGCCTTATTCTCACGTACCTACCTTACCTTACCTTACGCGACCCGAAATGGAGCTCAGGAGAGGCACTGTCTAAACGCACGTACCTTTGCTAACTGGCAGCTTCTTTGATTGACTTTTTTTAAAGAATACCTGACCCTCAGACATTCTTGAGGTTGAGTCTTGCAAGGTCACAGATGTCAACATGTCGGGCCAAATCGCGGACTTTGTGAGGTCAAAAGAGCCCCGCACTTCTCTCCATCACTGATGTGCCCGGTACTTGGACCCCTAAAGTATCTTTCCTCCCGCCGCCTTGCGCGAGGTACCTCCACCTTACCACAGGGTGAGCCAAGGTATATTTCCTTCTTCGGACTGAACATGCCGGCGCAAACTGCACTATTTGAGCAATGGTCACTAATTCGTTCCATGGCTTCCAACAGTCCATTGGTCGCGCAGGGCCTGGAACATGCGATCGTCAACCTCGATTCCGCCGTTGGGATGGTGGGTGCCTCGTTTTCTCGCAACCGGCCTTGTGTCGCCCAAGTCCACGCTGTCGCTTTCTCTATCTTACTGGAGAAGAGTTGGTGGACATTTACTCGGGGAGTCAAAACAAGGCAAATCGGCCCCTCTTGGTCTGTCAAGAAAAAAGAAAAAAAATAAGGGGGGGGAAAAGGCCAACAGCTGTCGGACAGGGGCAACCCGAGTCATTTTCATCACACGTTTGAGTGACCATCCTTGGCCTATGACATCCGCAGCAGAGCTAACTTGTCCTGCGCTCAACACGGGAAACCGCAAATTGACGGACCGAAAAATGGCGAACGCGGACATCACAGGTGCCTACCATGCTTTACAGCGGCCAACTAAAGTTGTCCCTCTCCTACGTAAGGTACCTAGGCTTCAACATTTCCCCTCTCCCAAATCCCTCGCCGCATCACAGCATTCTGCAGGGATTAAGGCCAATCAAGGTCAGATTCAGACCTCGACTAAGACCTGCCGGACCCTGACACAAGCGGTCCAGGAGGAACCCGAGCCAACGGCGCGCTTCTTCGGCTGTCCGTCGCAAACACACACTTTCATTCCGCGACGGCCAGCACACCTTGGACTTCCATAAGCCTCCCGTGCCTCTCGGCAATACCGCTTGCTCTGTGGCCGCAAACCCCTCCGGCCATGGGCTCATCTGACCTCGATTGACCGCCTCGACTAGTGCACCTTAGTCAACCCAACAGCCGCCCTATGAGCCCGTCCCCTACCGTCCCAGGAACAGGGGTCCTTTCGTCGGAGCCAATCACCTTACCAAAGCCCCCAATCCCTGCGGTCATCCCGTCTTTCCCTGCCTCCGCTTCATGCATTCCGGCCAAAATCCTCTGCTTCGCCCCGTTCACAAATCATAGCCATACGCAATCTCACTGGTTCCATTCTTCTTCTTCAACGACCCCCAAGGCTTGGACCTCAACCTGCTCGGTGCAGCAAAGGGAAAATCATAGCGGCCTTCCCAATTCTGGGCTCGCTGGATATCTCCATCATATTATCCCAAAACTGTATCGTGGAGCGGGTCCCGTTCGGCTGCATGTCACTCCCGAAGTATGCATGACGCTACATCTCCGAACGGGTTACCGCTTTTCGGCGGAGATTACCCTCGCGAGTTATTATTCCTTTCGGGCCCCGTCTAAGCCTCGTCAGCAAGAGTTGGCTTTTTACAACATCAGACCGATCCAAGAACGAATATCGTAACCAACACCAGGTATAGATATTTACACACTGCCTCCACCTGATTAGGTGACCTAAAGCTTGCTTCAAGCACAAACGTACAATCGCAACATCCATACTGCCGTGACGTTTGGCAGATCCCTTCGTTTTGGAATGCTTACAATTCTGGAACCCCCACCCCCCCACATGGTTTTATTGTGTAGCTTCATCAGAACTTTGAGCAGGGAAACAGCAGGACGACTCCAGAAGGCAAAACCCACTAGAGTGCCGAGGAAACCTCGTGATCGCCAGAGTCCTGGCCTCGTCAACTCACTTCGCAGGCCGCGAACCGTCAATGCAAGTTTCACCTCATATGTGACAGGGCTTGCCCGAACGAGATTTCCTGGCATTTGAACATGGCTTGTTCTTGACGGCTTTGGCTTCGAGTCTGCAGCACGCCACGTAACGAAATCATTGCTGTGGCTTGCTGAGTGGTCAGCTTAGCCCAGCCTCACAAAGTTAGGGCGATGGCACTAAAACATAACTTCATCATCCTTTTAAGTATTTAAGAATATGAGATTGAAGCCCGACATACATCCATCGAGTTCTCAGCTCAGTAACGCTCGTCCCCAGTTCAATGCCTGTCGGGATATCTGGGAATAAATACAGTTCTCTTTGTACCGCATCAACGCGATGAAGCAGAGATTTTGTCGCGTAATAACTGAAAACACGGAGAGATAGATAGAGCGGGAGGCTCGGTGGGCTTTCGATTTTTGGGAGACTGACCCTCTGACCTATCCTGCGGACGCCGCATATGATGCGCACACGAACATGGAATCAGATACAGAGGGGGGGAGGGGGGGAAAGTTGGCCCTCTCACTTGCTTTGTAATTCACGTCCCCTTAAGCATGAACACCACACCATTATCCATTACTCGAGGTGAGTAATGCAGTCTAGCAACAAGGCATCAACAGGGTGATAGATTTCGATTTGAAGCAGCCCAAGTGTCTCTTCGTTTGTGTAACTGCCGAGACGGATGACTTGATAAGCCAGGGCTCCAATCGTGATGCCACGATAAAAAAAATAGACACATCTAATAGGCCCCGGTCACATCTAACAGCTTGCATGGCGATCCTCACTGGAAAGATCAGCAAGATATTCGCAGCGATGATGACTTTGGCAATTCGTGGAGCAGGGATTGAAGAATGGGAAAGTGGAATTGGCAAGACGGGAGACTATCGGACGACGAAGGTGGAAGACTTTGGCTTATTTAACGTCACCTGCGGCAACCGCGGACGGCCCAAAAAGCCAGGCTAGACTAGTGCCGAACAATGTCCAGAGTCTATCGCTTGCCTCTCCAAAGCTTTCATTCATAAGTACTAGGGCGACAGCGAACAGAAACGAAAGACTCTCAAATTAAAGCAAATATTTTTTTTATCGACCACTAGAATCGGGTGTCTCTGAGCTTACGCAGCCATGACACTACTAACCGAACCGGATGTTTTTGTTGAAGAGCAGGTAGCATATGCGCAGAGAATGACTTCAAAGAGTGCATCGACTCTCAAAAGGCACCCTCGGCACACGTCAAAATTGTGTCTCTTACACCGGGGTAAGTAATCTAATACGACCTGGGCCTCGTTATGCAACTTTTCTGGGTATCATAGTACGGCCTTCATTGCAAACCTCCCTGGCACGCAAACGACATTTTGGCACTAGAACAGTAGAAATTCGATTAAAGGGCTTGTATCTAGTGAATTGACATGTAAAACCGAAACGTCCTTTTATAAGAAGTCCTGTATTCTTATTGACTGGCAACTTGACGCGATGTTTCTGTACTACATCTAATCTAGTCATCGACCCTCAGGGGCTCTGAGTAACTCGTCATATCTTCATTATCGACCAACTGAATCCCCTTGAAGCTCTCGTCATCGCTATCTTCATCCTCATCCTCCTGTACCGGGACGGGAAAAGTCTTGGGCCTCATCGGCAGTTCCGGACGGCGGTGCGAGTCTATAGCACCATCGCTCTGGAAGGAGTGGATAGCAGAAGGTCTCGGAGGAAGTTCCGGTTTCTTGCCCTGCCGACTGTGACCAGCTTCAGTAGGAACGGAGGATTGATTCGTTGTTCCTAGAGCGCTGAGACTGAGGGGATCTGCCGACTGCTGCTTCTCCAGAGGTGGAGAGCCGAGACTACGGAGCTCTTCGTGATGAGGCGAACGTGGTCCCTGCTTCGCCTGACCTAGATTTCCCAGATTCAAAGGGTCACCACCACCAGCTCCCAAAGGATCAAAAGATTCTGAAACGGTTGCGCCGCCAGACCTAGAGACCTTATTGCGGTTCGGGTTCTTCTTCTTCTGTTGAGGCGGGTCGGGATGCAACGGGTGACGGAGCTCGTTCGGGAACCTGGCAGCCTGCTTGGATCTGATCGGCTGGGGCTCCGACTCGGGGTCGGGTTGCGCCTCGAGCTGAATGAGCTCGCCCATCTGCGAACCTGCCTCCTCATCCGTGATCTTGATATCGAGATCTTCATCCTTCTCTATGACCCCCTCGCCGCCCTTGACGTTAGGGAAGCCGCATCTTGTGAGAATCTTGGCGATCAAGCTAGGGTAGCGAAGGTGCCCGCTGACTTCCGCACTCAGGTTCAAATTTTCAACTCTTTCAATGTTCTTGACTTCTTGCAAGCCTGCAATTCCTAGTTGAAGCGAGGTGGCGCGGTACAAGAATCCGAGAATATAGTCTGTTTCCGAATACACGTTGACAATGCGACCTGACACCACAGACCGCAAGACCTGCCAATGTTCTCTGTTGGACGGTACAGGGGCACCAATGAGCACTACGGTATCGACTAGACCGAAAGCCTGACGCTCAGCAAGTGATCGTAGACACGAGTAAATGACGCGGGCACCGAGTGAATAACCGACCAGAGTCACGGGTCTTTCTCCCTGAACTTTGGCGATGAGGGCATCAGCAAGCACGCGGCCAGCCTTGTCTGAACGATTTCGGGCTAGGTTGAATGGGTTATCGATCTTTGAAGCAGCACTAATGAGATAGGCGGGCCATAGAGCGGCCCAGAGAGAAGCCAAGACGGTTCGCTTCAGGATCTCGATCTTGACATAGTTCCAGGCGTAAGATGACACGAGACCCTCGAGCTCAGCGCCGAGGGCAAGGAGAGACTTCATCTCGTACCGCAAGGCAAAGACTTCAGATTCGTCGCCCAAGCTGCGCCAGGGCTTAGTCACGTCGCCTTCGTCATTGAGCCAGCCGTTGATGCCAATCGTCACGCGAAGGCGGGCTCCTTGCTTGCCGTCGGGATCAGCGCGTTTATAGTCCTGACCCCATTCGTCCTTCAGCGGGAGGAAACGAAAGTCCTCGACCTCCTTGGCGTAGGTGTCCATCATCTCGCCCGTCATCTTGGCTCCAAACGCACCAAACAGAGTCCCGACGAGGGCGCCGTTCATCCAGAAGATACCGAGGAAGCTTGCAACGCCTCCCAGGCCGACACTTCCCATGATGCCACCGATTGCGCCAGCGACTACGGGGGCCGCCAGGCCACCCGTGATACCGATGACTGCGGCGCCTGCCACGGAAGCCAGACCGACTTTCCAGAAGCGGCTCTTTTGGTTTTCCTGCCGCCGCTTCGCAGCCTCGGCCTCGGCCGACATGGTAGCCTTCTGACCCTCGGGAGCCGTCGAGGATTCAACTAGAGACTTGGCGATCTCCGTCTCCTCCGTGATGAGACATGAGACCGGCAGACCGAACGCGGACGTGAGATATAGAGCCAAGACCCTGGAGTGCGACGAGTAGCAACCCGTTGACAAAACGAGGACAAGGAGGCAGCTCAGCACCTCTTTCCTATCATCCACCGGAATGGTAGTGAACCGGCTCGGGATGGGATGGTAGTGCTCCTGCAGTGCGGCCACCTCCTCGTCGACCTTATTCGCCGACGAGGAAGCCTGAGGGGCTTCTCCAAAGTTGATTAAATCCTCCCCGAGGCTGGGGGACTCGGCCTTGAGCTTCTCCTGCTCGTCCAAGCGCTTCTTCCTGGCCTCCAGGATCTTGTCATCGTCCCGAACTGAAACAACCTCCTTCACCTTTTCCAGAACTTCCTTCCGCCACCCGTCAAAGTGCTTCAGCGCCGCCTTCCTCAAAGCCCGGAGCTGGGCGCTGTGCACGCCGGAACCGCCGCGGTCCGGGTGGCTGGGACTGCTGCTACGTCCGCCCTGGCTGGCGTCCGGGACAAAGAGCGGGGCGTTCCTGTCCTGGAGTGACGGCGAGGCCGGGTTGCCGGCGGCACCCGAGACGGAGTCTGCTTGATCGCCGTCTTTGAGCTCGAGCTGCGAGCGCATGTAACCCGTGATATCGAAGAGGAGGGTGTAGAAAGCTTTACGGCGGGCCGGGTTGAGAACCACCACGAGCTGGCGGGGGTCTGCGGCCAGGGGAGCCATGGTTGGGATAGCTCACCACATTCGACGGGGGACTTGTCAATGGGGTAAGGATATTACAGAGATGCTTTGGTATCAAGTAACAAGCCGTGAATTTGTTGATTCGGGGCGATACCTAGGCGGACAAGATGTGAAAACAAGGACACGTAAGAAGAGATATGGTTGAGTCACTTTGGTTGATCAAAGGGTGAGTGAGGTGTTGGTCTGAGGTTAGGCAGACGATTATCGGAAAAATCATTAGAGACTTTCAGCTGCCTTCGCCGCACAGAGATTCCCTACAGACAGGCATCCTACCGACGTTTAGGTGTTGATGTTAGCCCCGATCCTTCCTCAGCAAAGGCGGTCTACGTGTCTGGTCCGTGCCAATTTCCAGTCTCCATCCTTGCATCAACCCTGTGTAAATGTTCCAGGTCGTCGTTCGTCTGCAAACGGTTCCTCTACGAACAACCTCCTTTCTGACGTAGTAGTTATCATTCGGCCAAGCATAAGATGCATGATAGTGACTGTGGCCAGTCAATGGACTAAGCATTGGAGGAATGAGACGCAAAATGTGCAGCGAGGACCCTAGATTTGAGGGCTGCAAGCCTCTGGATTATTCGCAAATGCCTCCATGATATAACCTAACACCAGCGTATTTCGATTACGCCGGAAAAAACACTTTTTATATCTCAAATCTTCCTCGATAGCCATAGCTCCCTCTACTCCTCATCATCTTCCATATCGTCATCTTCGTCCTCCTCCTCCTCGTCACCCTCCTCGTCATCCTCGGCATCGTCGTCCATCAACTCATCGGCATACTCCTCCTCAGAGTCATCATCCGCGGCGTTCTCCGCAAGCGCATCCTTCTCCTCCTCCTTGCGCTTCTTCTCGTCCTCTTTTCTCGCGTCCTCAAGCGCCTTAGCCTTCTGCTCCCTAATCTTGCGCTGTACGACCACGTACGCGCCGAGCGGCGTCTTCTCCCACTCGAAATCGCGCAGGAACGCATCCACCTGCGCGCGGTCCTTGGGCGCGAACTCAACCTTGGCACGCTTCTCCTCGATGAACTTGGCGTTAGTCTCGAGCTTCTGCACCAACAGCACGATCTGCGAGATGACCTTGTTGTTCTTGTTACCCGTCTTGATCTTGCGCGCCTGCTTGAGCCAGCGCTTCAGCTGAATGAGGACCGGCAGGGTGAACTCGGGGAACGCAATGTTCTTGCACCAGATGGTGAAGTACTCGCTGAAGAGCTCGACAACCTGCTCGGCGACACCGTCTTGGTAGACGCGAGTGCGGAGGTACGACTTGGGCGCCTTGTAGGCAACGTGGAAGTCGAGGGGCTTGATAGATGAGGCCTTCGGGAACCGTCTCATGTCGGCCGACTCGAGAACCTCGATCAGAGCAGAAGCGAGAGGGATGTAGGTGTTGGTTGCGCGCGAGAGACGGAGGATAGAGCGGATCAAGTGGAAGCGCAGGGGGAAGAACGTCGGTGAGGGGATGAGACGCATCGCGCCCAGGGTCACTTGCACCAGGGGGTAGATGAGGAGCTTGAGCTGGCCCTCCTTGCCAGTCTCCGCCTCCTTCAGGGGGCTGCAATGCTCGGCAAGCACGCAAGACCAGAAATCGAGCGAGTGGGTGAATTGCCAGTTGTAGATGATCTTGTGGGCATCTTTTTCCTTCTTGACAATGCTATTTCTGAGGTGGATGGCGAGCTGGCGGATAAAGGTGAAGGCTGTCGTGTAGCCAACGTTTTGGTCGATACCCCAAAGCTCTGCAGCAGAGTTCTTCATCAGGTTGATACCCTGGATGGTGTTGACGTTTGTCGCCCTGCAGCCCGAGACGAGTCCCTGGTACACCGTCTTGAGCACGGTCTCGCGGAGGCCCTTGTCGCCGATGACGACGAGTTTTCGCAGGACAAGGAAAGAGGTGATTTTTGTCGTTTCTGAGCTGGCCGGTCTGGCCCAGTAGTTGACGACCGTCTTGATGAGAGCCTTGAGAAGCTTGCGGAAGGACATGAGGTAGGGAACGAGGGGCTCTAATGAGCTGATAGTGAGCTTGAGAGTCGCATCGTCGGACAGTGTGCCGAGGAGATGGATGATGGACGCAGTGAAGGTCTTGATCATGATGGACAAGGTGTGGAACTTTTTCGAATCGGTAGGCACGTAGATCTTGCCAGACGCAGACTCCTTGATGGGCAAGTGGTGCGAGATGATCTCGGGTATCTGCTTCAGGGCAACAATCAAAATGTCGTGGAAGACCTCGGGGCTTGAGATGGTGTATCTCTGCGGGGTCGAGTCGTCGGCATCATCCTCATTGAGATGAGCCGCACAGCGGAAAGCCAGAACGACCTGCCTGGCGGCACGCAAGCTCTGCTTCTCCGTGAGCAGCTTTTTCCACTTGCCCACCATCTCGCGCGTGAGCTCATTTTCCGCGGCGGTCACCTCCTCGACCTCGGGCTTCTTGGAAGCCTTCTTGCGCTTCTTCTTCGGTTGTTCTTCTTCGTCGTCGTCGGATTGGTCGCTGCCGGCGCTCAGCTCGTCCACTTCGGCCAGGTCGGCGTTCTCGTCAAAGTCGAGGGCTTCCGGGTCGTTGTCCTTCAGGAACTTGTAGAATTCGGGATCGTTTTGTGCGAGCTTGTCCATGGCCTCCTTGGTCATGCCGAGGTTCTCGTCCTCGTCCTCATCCCCCTCGCCGTCTTCGCTGTCGCTTCCGATCGGCTGCTCGTCGACAGAGAATTCCGACCCGCTGCCCTCTTCCTCGTCCTCGTCCTCGTCCTCCTTAGCGGGCGCATCGCGCTTCCGCTTGCCGAGCTTCTTTGTCGCATTCTTGCCCTTCTTGTCGATGATGTCCTCGAAGCCGCCCTGGAAGAAGTCGTCGACACTCATGGCGCTGACCTTGGTATCCTTCTTGTGGCCATTGGCTTTTGCCTTGGCGGCGGCCTCGTCATTCTTGAAAAACTCGGAATCTTTTGTCTTCTTCGTCGCCTTCTTGGCCTTGACCTGGTAGCGCTGCTTGACCTTGGCCGACTCCTTCCTCTTGTCCAAAACGCCCTTGAGCTTGGTCTTTTCAAACTTCTTCGTCGCCTTGAGGTTCTTCTTTTGGGAACCCATGATGAAGTATGGAGCCGGGGTGGTCAGTCCTGCGTTGGGCGAGGTAAAGAGAAGTTTTGGCTGCAGCGGCTCCAGGAAGTGGACGCGGGAACTTCGAGACTTTCTCAATGGCAGCACTGCACGACGCCCGTCCAAATTTTTTCTGAACGCTTATATTATCAGGGAATACGCTAAGCCATCTTTGGGATTGGTCCTTGGAGGTTGCCCCACGTGGAAGGTAGGTAAGGTGCCTCGGGCGTGGGAACCTCTACACCCATGTCTTACGCCCTTGGCAAGCTGTGGCTCTGCGACGCACCTGTCTGCACCAGCACTGCTACTTGAGAGCTCGCCGGGCGACGACAGCTCGAAAGCTGTCAGACGACCATGAAGCCGACCACGATTCGAACACAGCTGCGAAGATGATGCCCCGGCAACCCTATGCACCGACACCGCATAGCTACATCCCGAATACCACATTATCGGCAACCATTAATCTCGATGAGGCAAGTCAATTCGAATGTTCAATCGCCGTCACCCGCACCCCCTCCAACAACTACCCCGCCCCCGCAGGCAACATCCAGCTAACATGGCGATGCGTCACGACAGGAGGTGAAGCTAGCCGTCACCCGCGCCGAGCGCGACCTACAAGACTCGCTCGCCGAGATCTTCAGCATCATCGTCACCCTCGATGAGCTCGAGAAGGCTTTCCTCAAAGATGCGATCCCTGAGGCCGATTACACCGAGATTTGCGAGCGGTCCCTGAAGCAGTACAAGTCCATCTTGGCAGACGAGACCGTGGCAAAGGCCTTTGGGGGACTGGAGGAGTTTAAGGCGGAATGGGATGTTCGTGTGACCTTTTTTCTTCGCCAGCCCAGTGTCGTCCATATTGCCACAAAATGCTGACCGCGTCGTCCACTCCCACAACAGCTCGAAGTCCCCCGCGCAACGGAGCGCATTCGCGTTGGCATGCCCTCGACGACCGTGACGGCCTCTTCAAGCGCCGCCCCGGCTCCCGCAGCCGCCGGCAACACGAGTGGTACGCTCATCCTGGAAGCGACGCAGGAATTTATCACCTTTCTCGATGCCGTCAAGCTCGGTCTGCTCTCCAAGGACCAGCTACACCCCCTACTCTCCGACGTCATTCAGTCCGTCAACAAGGTCACAGACCGCGACTTTGACAACAGGGGCAAGATTGTGCAGTGGCTCATCACGTTGAATCAGATGAAGGCCACAGACGAACTGAGCGAGCAGCAGGCCCGCGAGCTCGAGATGGATATTCAGCAGGCTTATCAAGGGTTCAAGAGTACTCTCACATGAAAAAGGAAAGGGGGCAAAAGATGTGCTGAGAGGAATGTTCTGTTCTTCTTTGTGGATAGATACCAATGCAGAGCGAATCTCACTAGCTTTTGATTCAAAAAAATTTTTACCGGCCTCTATTTCCTTTGCCCGTGAACAATCGCATTCATACCTCGTAAAGAACGCCATGTTGATCAGCCATTTCACCATGTTCTCAGATCAAAAACGTCCAGAAGCTGGGATACACAAACTCGTTCTCGAATATCCTCCTCACCTGCTCCAGCACAAACCTCTCCACCTTGCCCACATTCTTCAAGCTCTGCTTACCCCCGTCCCGGAGGCCAATCTCGCTCTCGACCTGGATCTCTTGCAGAAGCCCCCCGAACCTCTTGCCGGGCTCACTGGGCCCCGCGTCGTCCGCGCCCACCGCCGTGACGGCGTCCTCGGGGCTCAGGAAGCAGAATTGCACCCTCTTCCGGATGTGCGCCATCACGCCGACGCCGTCAAACGTCAAGCCTGTGACGCTGAGCTGCACAGGGATCCCCACGAAGCTCGGCATCGGGTAGTCTAGAAGAATCTCCGCCGTCAGCCGCAGCCTCACGTCGCCGGCGTATCGTATGCGAAACACGGCCTGCAGGTCTTCGGGCCTCGGCTCCCTGAATCTCGGCGCATTGTCGTCCTCTTCTTCCCCCGGGAGCACCTCCTCGTCCTCCTCCTGGATCGCTGACCCCGCGAGGTGCGTGTCCCGCGTCGGCGGCCTCGACGCCCCGGCTGACGTGGGTGCGAGCGTAGAGACGCTCGACTTCTCCCGTAGTTGCGCCAGGGCCGGGTTGAAGTCGCTCACGGAGATCGAGCCCTGAGAGGGATTTCTGCTGTGGCTCGGCGAGAAACCGTTCGGCAGTGGCGAGCCGACGGGAGACAAGAAGGCCGAGGCGTCCAGCCTGTTGCCCATGTGCGCGCCGGCCACCGCGGCGAGGGGCGTCTGCGTCCCCGACCAACCGGTCCCCAGGTGCGACTGGAAGTAATGCAGATTCGATGTGCCGCCGAGGATCCCTGGCGTCGAAACACCCAGGAACGGACTGGGGAAGTCTCCGGACTGACCCCTGAGTGCGTGCGTGCTCAGCCTCGGCGGCAGCGAAGCCTCCTCCCTCTGCCTCCTTCTCTCGCCGGCGCTCAGCTGGCTCTTGGGTGCATGCTGGTGCTGGTGCTGCTCCTCGAGGACGGCCTGCTCCTCTTCTTCGTCATCCTCAATGTCGGAGTTCTCCTCGTAAAATTCCGGCAGCGGGTCGGTAATGTCTTTGAGTTCCAGTTCGGGGGCGATGGTGCCGAATTCAAAGTCGTGTACTTTGACAGACTTGATGAAGCGAGGCAATGGTACTGCCTGGAATTTAGTGTGTATGAAGTCGCGGATGCGGAGGGCCAGAGCCTCTCCGTCGGGCCCCGTTGTGAGCGTCTCCCAATTGAGATCTATTGACATTAGAGCTGTTGTTGTGTGAGAGGAGGAAAGAGAAAGTGAAGCCTAAACTGCCCTGTTGAATAAATGAGGTGTTGTAGGTATGCACACAGGGACGACGATGGGTGAGTGCCCAAGTTGCCCTCTGTTGAAACTCAATGACTTCGAGATTGAAGCCTGAGGGCGCTGCTAAGGTGGAGTGGTAACGGCAATACCTTATGTGCAGGTGGCGTTAAAATCGCTTTCCAGCGCTTTCCAGCGGACCACAGAAGCTTGTTTCAGCGGGTGCATTTAAGCATTCACTAAGCTGGAGGTACTCCGGACATGAACGAGAACAGCATGCCTTACCGCCCCGCCGTCCACTGCTTCTCATCCTGCCTGCTTGAACATTACAGAGAGCTTGAGATGCCAACGTCACGCTTCATGTATCCTTTTTATGTGTATGTGTTGGTGGGTATCTGAATTATGAAGGCCGTGATTCATCAACGCCGTAATGCTACCTTGGGATACTTCTTTTGCGGACTCTAACAGTACCGTCCACTCCTAAGACTAGATCGCCTCCGCACTCCTCAATCCATCCATCCTCGTAGGGAATAAACGCCGGCAATGCAATGCTCTTTATCGCTCTCGGTGTTTCAGTAGCTCATGTAATTGCAGTCCACAGAATCATATTAAAGACATTGTCGATGGGTAGCCAGAGACTCAATCGGCCTTGGCATCTGGTTCGAACCGCGGCCTCATGGTGTTGTTCAGTTGGGGCACGCCGAATTGATGCCAGCAATTTGGCGCTTGGAGGATGTACCTGGAATGCATGTTAGCTGATGACCGCAGAGAACTTGACGAAGAATAACTGGCGGACACGTACCTGGCCATCGCCTCTCGGAAGCGAGACTTGTATTCCTTCGGGCTGGTCACCGTCGGGCGATTTCTGCCACCCCCAGCAAATCCCCGATCTTTGATCCAACTCTCGAGTTTCTTGTCCCACGTGTACGTTCGGATACAGTCAATGATACCAACAACCAACTCCTTCTTAGCTTCATCCACGGCAATCATTAACGAGTAGTCCATCACGTTCTGTCTTGCGAGGAACAGGGTGTCGTTCCAGACCTGGACTTTTGTTAGCTCTCAGCTTCTCATCCCTTGTCTTGGCAACTTACAGATGCTCTCAGAAGCTTCTTGGAATGCTCGCGCGCGAATAAGGGTGATTCGTAGATGAACTCAACCATGTTCTCATCAAGGAGCACTTCATTCTGCTCGCCCGTTGACTGAATCTTGCGATTGCGCATTGAACCTTTCAAGTCGAAAAGACGGGTTGGGCCACGATCGTAGAAGAGGTTTTCCATGAGGAGAAGATCAAGCTTAATTTCAACACCAGTGACTGGGTTCTTGATAATCAGCTGGAAGAAACCCAGCATTTTGGCAATGACGGAAGGCAATTCATGGAACAGAGCTTCTGCCATGATGCCAAAATAGGCCGGAGCGAATCGTAGGAAGGCCGACGTCTCAATGGGCGATAGGCCCTGTATGTACGTTAGATACGATTTGGATACAGGTTAATGGGGCTCATCTTACCTTGAGAACTAGCCGGTCGTCAAGGGTCTTGAGAAACACCGACTTTGTCTTCCCGCCCTTCGAGTCCCATTTCAAGCAGCGAGAAAGAGACTCGACAATGCGGTCTGCAACACCGCACTTCCGGCGAAGCGCATCGAACTGCTCGGCATAGAAGATCTTGCAGAGCATCGTTGCAGAACCTTCCTTGAATTGGTACTTAAGATGGGTACCCGTGGCTCTGAGCAGACTTTTCTCCAGGTCGCCCTCTTCCATCATGAATTCACCGCCGGTGTCAGACATACCAGAAGACTTGCCGTCCAGATTCGATGCTTCATAATCTTTTTGTATGGCCATCCGCTCTTGACGGCGAATATCAGCCAGCTTCGTGCGGTAATCATCAGAGCTTAGAGCAAAAGCAATGACGGAGGAAGGCTCGTCCTCTCTTACAATCACGTCCGAGTCGAGGAAAATGTGATCGCTGGCGTTGACTGGGTAGTCCAACTGAGGCCAGCCACTCGCAGATCGTTCGGCCCAGAAGTTTGTGAGCATCTTCATCAAGCTAGTCTTTTGATGCTTTGGCAGTTCCAACGGAATCTCTGTACTTGGCTCGAGAGAGTCCGCCAACTCCTTAACATCAGGCAGTAAGTCGCCTAGTATCGACTCTTCATTGTCACTTTGCCCTTCGTCGTCAGATCCGCCATGACTGGCAGTTACCGTCGCAGTGTCGTCTGTCTCTCCGCCGACGTGGAGCTCTTCGGACGTGGCCGGAGCTTCTGTTGCCGGATGTGGCTCTCCTGCGGGTGGCATTGTATCAGGTTCCGTACGCACAACACCTGGAGGTGCTGGGGTAACAGGCGCAGTCTTCGGCTCGAGAATCTTGATCTCGTTGTTTTGTTCCGTATTTGACGGTCCGGCCTCCTGGACGGCATTGTCAATGTTGTGATAGACCTCCACAATGGCCTTGGTAGCTGAGCGTGGCAGACCGGCGCGAGGTTGATGTTTGGCAAGGCGCTTTCTGCGGTCTTCCCTCTGCCTCTCCTTCTCAAATTCACGACTCAGCTGTTCAAAGTGCCTGGCGATCCTAGATACCTGGGACGACACATGCGTATCCTTCTTTTTGGTGATCAGCCTAGGGATTGAGGAGGGGCCGGCTTTCCTATGGCTTTTCATCCCCAACGCTAGCCGATCAAATGGCTTCTTGTCCACTTTGAACGATGTTTCGCTTGAGTTTTCAGCCGGCCCGACGCTGTCCTTTGGCAAGATTGACTTGGCAAAACTTGCTTGTGATCTCGGTAGTGTTTGTGCAGGCTGTGACATGGTTCTAATCATCGGAGCTCTGCGAGCCAGTGTTCGCTCCGGGTTTGCTTTCGGTGCCTCAGAGGACTCGCTGACTGGGGGTGTCTCATGACCTAAAACCTGTTGCTCACGTCGAAGTTGTTCAACTTTTTCAGAGAGAGAAATTCCCGTAGAGGTCGTAGTGAGTGGAGGTCTGACACCCGGTGCAGTTGGCTCAACAATCCCCGACACATTTGACGTCTCCCCGGCTTCGTCGATGGCAGCAAAAGCGAAGGGACTCTTCCCTTTTGGTGAGCTTGGACTAGCCAGGTCCAGAGGTTCTACTCTGTCCAAAACAGCTTCAGCCGGCGTACTGGTTTTGCTAGCTTCCGAGGATTCAGGGTTATCGTCTTCGACAGCAGGCTGGTTCTTGGAATCTGGTCCAGGGTCTTGCTCTTGAGTTGACTCTGTTTCTGATAGCGGTTCCTTTTCCTTCAGTTCCTCAGTCTCATTTTCTGGCTCGCCCTCGTTCTTAGTTGTCTCTGAGACGCCTTCCTCACTAGGTTCAGTTGGGTCCGTCGGTTGGGTCGAAGACTTCTCGTCAGCATCTGAGAAAGTTTGGGATGGGGGATCCCCGGAGTCCACGGTGGAATTCCCGTCCGTGGAGGGAAGAGACTCTCTCGACTCATTGTCCGTGAAGATTTTCTTGAGCTGAATCATTGTTAATTGACGCAGGTCTTTGTCCGGAAGAAAATCGGTTTCGAATTTGGTGAAGGAAGCATCCCAATCACCAGCCTTCTCCAGCATCTCTCTGACAATCGCATTAAACGGTATGACTTCGTAATACTTGGAGTTGACGTAGGTTTCCTGGAGTCTGCGGGTCAAAGCGACTTGGTCATCCTGCGCTTTCTTGGCGAGTCTGTCAACTTCAGTCTTACACGCATCGGCCTTTTCGGGTAAAACGCTGTCGATGCGGATGCTCTTCAGCCTGAACTTGACAGAGTTTATGAAGCGTGCCCATCGTTCCTCAATTTTGTTGAAAATCTCGTTTTTGAGCTTGAGGTCATTTTCGACCTTCCACGTAATCCGAGCTCGAGGGACGACAATTTCGAGGAGATCGATTGGATCATAATGTATCCTCACCCAGGTATCGCGGTAATGGAAGTACCGGATGTGATCGCGGTGATGGTCGTGCGGGCAGCCAGAGAACTCGTGGAGACGCAGGCCCCTGCTCCAGAACAGAAGCTCAAGGTACTTGCCAAAAGAATATTTCCAAGTGCTGTCAGACATTCCCATCTCAGGAGAATCCTTCTTGCATGTTTTGCAGTAGCTCCACATAGTGATGCCATCTAGATTGCGCCTTTTGGCCGCAGGCTCAACAAAAATAGTGACTCGGGACTCATCATGTACATAGGTACGATGATGCGCTGTCATCTTTCGGTCGCAGCCATTGGCTGTGCATATCGAGTCCTTGCTGATGCACAAGTCTTCAATGTATTGACCGAGAGTGCAGTCAGGATCCATGCTTCCACTTTCGTCTACATGCTCATCGTAGAACGCAATCGCAATCAGCCCGGGTTCGGAGCACGGGATTTTCGTCTCTGTGCAGATAACTGAGTATAGAACGACAATGTTCTGGTGAGAATAGGGATCGAAAAGGTCAAGGTTGCCCTGGATGTAGTTCTCCCATTGCCGGGTCTGAACCTGGTAATTGTACAGCGCCTTGTCATATTCGGCATCGTGGACAGCATGCAGAATTTCCATGACTTGGCGTGGCGCCTTCTGTCCAATAGCGTGAACCATTTCAGGCTTAATGAGCTGAAACTTTTGTGACTTCGACTTTTCGGCGTCAATCTGCTCCTCAACCACATCTTGATCTCTCAGGCGCTTCAAGTAGACCAATCTTCGCTCCTGTTCTCGTGCCTTCATGAGCAAGTAAGGCTGCGCAAACTTGACGAATGGGGACGCTGAGAGGATCTTGGTCTCGTATCTCGCAACCATGTCGCTGTAGTATGTCGGCATCGGCACGTCTTCTGGTACTTGAGACTCGGGAGACGTGGGCGGAACGTGAGAGGCATGAAGAGATACGAGTGGAGGTCGTTCTTCCGGGACAGGCTCTTCAGTCTGATCTGACGATACAGTCCCTTCGGCAGTGACTAACGACGTGCCATCACTCGTTTGTGTAGCAAGTTCAGACTCGGGGGGCGAGGTTTTCGAAATCTGCGTTCCCGTCTCTCTGAGTTCAGTTGACGCGCTGAGAGATCGAGGGCCATCCTCTGGGTTATGGCGAAGAGATGATGATAGTGAGGTTGACTCCTCAGGCTCTGCCGGTAATTGGATGTACTCGTCTCTCATCAAGCACGTCTCCAACTTCAAGTTGTAGACAACGTAGACCATGAACTCTGTTATCTTCTTCATTTTCGACAGAACTTCAGTTGAGTCACCACGAAGGGCAATCGTACAACCAAGCTTCTCAGAGCATCCTGATAGGAAGATGTATGTCTTTTTCTTTCCAGGATAATTCTTGTTAACGTAGGTCTTGACTTCGAAGCCGCCAGATCTCCCAACCTGAACTTGTAAGGCCAGCATATCAAGAGAGGAGATAATGTCCGTTTCTGCGCATCGTGATACGGCTTCGATAACCGATGGCTTAACATTGTAAGCAACAGCGATGTTCGCCTCAGAGAGATACTGCAACGCAACGCCGGAGACAGACTTTTCGCAGAGAAGCAGTTGCGGGCGCAGGTTGATGATGCGGTTGACGACAATTCGCAAGAACTCTTTCTCCTGTTCGATGACAGGTTGGAGGCTCATAAAGTGTTGTTGGTGTCGCTGGTATTCTATTGGGAAGGAGACAATGACGATGCGGGGGTTCAGAATGCGGCGGGGCATGCTCTTGAGTGCAAGATTCTTTGTGAATATGACACCTGAGACGTAGCTCGTGTCTCCTGGTTTGCCGCCTGGGATTTTCTTCAGCTTGACATAGTGCCGTATGTCCATATCGTCTCCTACTCTGATGTCGGGGGTCACATCGTCGGTGCACTGAAGCAAGATGGGGACCAGAGCCTTTTCCCATGCTGGCACATTGGGTATGCCAGAGTCTTCGAGCAACTGATGTAGCAGCCTCTTGACATGCAACATGCTAGATGGATTGAGCTCCACCTGTGGCTGCTTGTCCGCTTGCATCGAATCGCTCCTAGTCAATTTCGTAGCTTCGATAGCAGGATTCTCAATAGTGAAAACGTTCTCGTTGGACGCAGATGGGCCTTTGAAAATGCCAGACTTTGGGCGTGGAGACCTCATCTGATGGCTCACGTTGCTGAGATTGCGTCTTCTCGCGGGCCGGCCAAGGCCAATAAGACTTCCGGAGCCAGCATTATCCTCCATTCCACGGCTCGTGAAGCTCAAACCACTGACGCTCTTCTCTCCTCGTCCGAGTCGATGTCTCCTTCCCGTGCTCAGAAAGGGTCCAAAGCTTGACTTTTCATGGTCATAGCTCGACGGTTGCAGATCGGCATTAGACATTGTGGCAAATATGCTCATCTGTTCGTCGCCGCTTGATTCGTCTGACATGTAGGCAGCCAGTTCAGGATCGATTATGTTGTCGTCGTGGAAGGCCGGATATTTCGGTTTCTTAGCCATCTCCTCAGTGATTCCTTTGCGGAACGGTGCTCTGTCATCTGGCATTGGCTTGAACCTTGACATAAAATTGTTGTGATGCTTTGAATGGTGCCGCCTGTGACCTGACGACTGCGGCCGGTTTGCAGATGTCAATGACCTTAGAGAACGCGAGGAGCTCGGGCGACTGAGTTGCGGTGCGTCAATTTCCAGAATGGCCGAATTTCGGTTGGAGTCGTTGATTCTTCTGGTCGCGGGGATCGCCATCATGGGTGTCTGAACAGATCTTGCGTCGCCCAAGTCCTCCATTCGATCAGCAAAGCTCGGTTCTTCAACCTCAGCCTCTGCCTGCGTGACCTTGGGCGTCGCCTTGGTTTGACGAAAAAGAGCTGGCAGAAATGAGTCATCCCCGGAGTCGTCAGAGCCGCTCCCTTCATAGAGTCGCTGGTTGATGACCTTAAGGCAAGTCTTGCAGACTCTCAAAGTCCCTGTCATTCCGAACTTTGATGCTGGGATGATGGAGGTGCATTTTGAATCAAAGATGCAGCCGCAGGTTCGGCAATGGTGCTTTCTCCTGAAGGCCGAGAAAGGCTGGGCGCAAATGAAACATTCTTTGCACGTTTCATCAGCCATCCAGAATTCTTTACTCAGAACCTGACGCCGCATTCGATCAAGTCTTGCGTTGACTTGTTCAGGGGCGCCTTCGTTGGTCGTTGTACCAGGAATGCGCAAAGCCCCTGTTCTCCCATGTATGGGCTGAGCAGCATGGGCGAAGGAGTCATGGTATACAGAGTCGTGAGCAGTCGTACTGATGGGACTGGGTTCTGCGGTAACATGTTCCATGGAGGAAGATCTTGACGGGGCATAGCCAGGTGACCGAGACCGACTAATGCGATCAATAACCGCTGGCCGCTTCGGGGCCAGCATCATCGACGAGGTTGACAATGTAGGAGACCGGGGATCCGCGGTTTGCAACTTGGGCAACTGGGGTGCGCTGGTCTTGATCGGGCTCAGGGGCTTATCTGAAGGACCGTCGACAACCGCGTCTTCACGTCTGGGCCGGGATAGTCCATGGCTTCGATCGATAGCTGCGCCGGATTTGAGCTCGAGGACATCAAACTTGTGCGAGCTTTCAGAACCGATCACGAACGGCCGAGGATCAGGCTGTTTGCTTATGCTTCTCCTCCCGGATGACCGACCAGGACCATCCTCCATGCGGACTACGCTTCTTGGTGCTGTGGCCGGAGCAACCTCAGGATTGATAGCCGTGACCGCTGAGGCCTTGGCCACGCTGGGCAAACTCTGCCGGCTGGCAGCGCTCGACTTGGACGCCGTCATGGCGGAAATGGATGTTGCTTTCGACGACTGAGGAGGATGTGACTGGCTATCGGACATGACAGTGTTCATGCCAGATGAGGAAGTTCCTGTCATGGGACCGTCGTGCGTTGTTCCCGAGTTGAATGAGGAGCTGGTGGCGGCGGTTTCGACGCGCGCGAGAGAGGCGATCGGTATTTTCGGGGTTGTAGCCGTGGTGCTGGTGCTGCGCTTCGACGCAGCATCAAAGCTGTCACCGTCGTCGAGGTCTTGCTGTCTCGCCCCGACGGCGCCCACCGCCTCTTTCAGCCGACTGTATAGCCCGCTGAGACCATTTTGAACCAGTTCTCCTGCCAAAACCTTCGTTTCTGTCGCCGGGAGGGATGAGGGCGGAGGAGCAAAGTCGTTAAATGTCGTCAAAGAATCGGACTGGCTTGCCGACGTGTGGATCCTGTTCAAAGTGTGGGCTAGCTGGTCCTTGTCGGCCTGCGAAGCGGTCGATATGGAGTTGATAGAATCATGGCGGCTTCTGAAGTCCGGGGGTGTGGACAGAACTGCCGGGGAGTTTGGTTTCGATACGTTGTTGCTAGCCATCTTGCGCGAGCAAGAATGCGACGAGCGGATGACTGAGCTCGAGGATTTCTATAACGTGTGTAACGCTAGCATCTTCTTATCTCAGGATGACATGATGGTCGCTGGAAGCAGACGTTGGTGTAGTTTTCGAAGAGATCAAAACCTTCTCCCCATAGTCGACCTCCGCCTAATCGGACCAAATATATCTTGTGTATTCGCGGTTCGTAGAAGCGAGGGGTTCGCTGTCGTCGGTAAGGTCTCTTTGTCGATATCTATTTCAGGTCTCGGGCGTCGTATATATCGGTGTAGTCTCGAACAGGACGTGAGAAAGATCGAGGATCTGAGAAGGGCGCAGGTGACGAAGAGTGGAATTGACGTGGCGAAGGTCAGGCTCTAGTTGTGTGTGTGTGTGTGTGTGTGTGTGTGTGTGTGTGTGTGTGTGTGTGTATGTGTTCGGGCGAAGATGGCCGAGTGTGGGATGCCGTCCTAGTTCCCCGCGTAAGTTGTCTGTAGTGGTGCAAGACGAGCTGTGTTGGAGTCGGTGCCGATGGCTTTAGAGGGCGGACTCTCCGTAGACTACCTACTGCGAGCCAGGCAGCGCTATCCCTTCGAGGTCTTGGCCCGCGTGGCACTTCGATGACCAAGTTGGCACAATCGTCAAACGTGGGTGGGATGACGCAGCGATGCAACGGAGTTGGGTTGAGCTGGCAGTTGGCAAGTCCCGGGGGTGCTGCACCACGAAGCAGGTACTCCAACGTCTCACTGAAAGTAGGCGTTAGTGTTGTCTATGATACCTCGGGAATGGCTGACTTTGAGACGCCTTTGGGCAGTCCAAAAGAGCCCGTTGCAATGCAGGCTGGGGCAAGGCAATGGGCGGTACTTGACCTTACCTCATCTGTTGCAACGCTTGTGGATTTGCCCGGTACCCGTTGCCGTCCCCCGACACCAGTGATGGCTGACCCACCCACACCCATAATGTACCTTAAGCACTTGTGGACTTCAGGTTCCGAAGCTCGGACCACTACCTTGCCTCTTAATGCACCACGAAGAACCCCGCAGTTGCTGCCACTTAACCTTGGACACCCAGCATGGGAATTCAGCAGGGAGGGAGGGATACGCCGAAAACGCGTTATCTGGAAGTAACGGTATCTTTGTCGCGTCAATGTGGTTGATGATTCAGGCCTTTTGGTGTTCACAACTCACAGAGCCCTTGTCCCTGCCCTTGATCGAAGCTGCTAACAAAAGGCATACTGGTTCATAACCATTCATTCCAAGATTCCCATTTTTTCCCTGGAGCCATTGTCTATCAACTTGTGAAACGCCATCACAACAACCACCTCGCCTTCATCCCAAGAATTTTCGTTCAACCAGCCATCAGCCCCATCCCGGATGCGGACCTTCACGATCATAGCTCAAAACGATTCTCACCACCACCATGGCTAGCCCAGCAAGTAGCTCAGATCAGTCCATCACATCGGCTCCCTTTGGTCTTCGAAATGGAGCTCCGATTCCTCGCAAGTTTGTGAGAATCCCCAAGGACCAACAGGCACTTCTAGACCATCAAGGATCGTGGATCTCAGCTCCCAAGGACCACCCGCAGCAGAATCCCGCTAGAGTCCCGCCAAAGGTCCTTGAACAAATTAAGTATTTTCATACCTCTCGGACGCTGCCGCCACCTGCCCAGAAGCCAAAGGCGCTTCTTTCAAGTGGGCCGACTGCAACAACATCAGTCTCAGAGAATGCACCGAATGACGAACAAGAAGATGGGGGTAAATCGGATTCTGAACCAGAAGTACCAGTCAGCTCCTGGCCGGAGTCTCCTCCACGACCACCCCGTGAAGTAGAGCTACAAGAGACCCCTTCTCCGGCGCCTTCTATCAGATCACAAGTTATGACTGAACGCCAATCTAGTGCAACAAGAATCTCTCAGTCTCCACCGCCGCAGACACGAAGCAGCCCTCAGATGCGGTCTTCGCCACCGGTAATCTCAGCTACCAAGCGGAAACCCTCACCTACTACCCGCCTCAAACGCTGCCAAATTGAGGCATTCCCATCCAGCAGCGCCGGCGTGGAAGAAGAGCTGGAAACTGCCATTCCTGGGGCTCTCTGTGAAGCGACACCCCCCATCAACAGAACGGCTGCGCGTTTAGCTGCAGTATCCCAGGCCGTTACCAGTCCTCCCTGTGGCCAGGGGAGCATGGTTCCGTCCACTTACAAAGATGTCAAGAGCCCTGAGAAGGCGGAAGGACCAGTCAACAAGAAAAGACGGTTCAAGGCAATCCCAGCAACCGAATTCGATGCAAACTCTCAGGAAGTTGTAGAGAAGGGACATTCTGCAAAGACCACCCCACAGTCTATAATCCCACTTTTTCTCCCCCCTCAGGGGATTCAAAAGACATCCTCAGAGTCTGCGATTGCGTCAACGCCTCTTGTTGCTGGTGCTCGACCGGATTTGGGAATACTCAAGGTCGTCAAAGATACCCCAAGTCTTTCTAAGACTGTTGACCCTAGTCATGAGGCCAACGAGACATCTTACCCAGACCCTAGGCCCTCAGGAGCACACGTCAGACCATCTATCGAAAGTGGGGGAAATGTCAAAACCAGTGCTTTACTGGGCCCGCGTGAAGCCTTGTCTGAGGACGCTGGCTGGAACTCGTCGAAGCTGGAAGTCCGGCGGCAGGAGGTCATATCGCATCTCAACGAAGAATGGAAACGACATGGTCTTGATTGGATTCCACCCGCTTTCCAGCATCTCCGGCCCACTCTGACGGTTCACAGCCTAGAGGTACTGCAAGATATCACCCGCCAGGCATCAAAGAACGGCATACCACTCGCAAGGTTGTGGTCAGAACCTGATGGTCTGCTCTTTCAAGCGGCTATGAATCTTGCGAAAGGTAAACTCGTTTTCTCCCAAGAACTCGCCGAGATATCGCTTTCTTTCTTCGAGGCAGAAGACTCAAGGCTGGCAAAGACTCGAGGTCCAGGCTCGTCGGGTGAAGCGAGACAAGCAACCGCCAGGGGGTCCTCGCGGCCGGCAAGCCCTCACGGAGCAGCATCCAACATCGCACCCGTCAATCCTTCGCCTCCAACATCGCCCTCTGCAATGCAAGGTCTTCAGCCGACCGCTAGTCCGCAAGCGCTTCTAGACAGTCTATATCAGTCAGTCGAGACACCTCGACCACCGCAGGCCATGCTCGCGAAGCCCTCCTTTGCACAGGGTCCGCTGGAGGCTTTCCGCCAGGCATACCCTTCCTTCTCGGGCAGTGTTGGTGACTTTGTCAAAGCATGCTTCACGATCAAAGATCTGCGTCGAAAACGACTGCTTCCCAAGTGGCTCTACGACGACTTCATTCGCGCCTTCGTGGGCGGGTTTGTCCCTTATATCGAGTCGCTGGACGACGACGAAGAGCCGCTCTCGGCATATCAGTGGTACGTCGAGTATGTGGACCGGCCAGCCTTTCAGGGCGGCGTCGTGACGCGCGAGAACCTGTATCAGGTTTTCAAGATCTACAACACTGAATTCAAATCGGCCAGGGAGTCTCTTTTGGAGAGCACGACTCCTTTTCCAGAAGCTACACAGAGGCGTGTCTCTGAGCAGTCAGCGGCGTTGAAGCCGAGCATTGGTCCTGACACGCCGATTGCGCAGAAAGCCAACCCCACCCCGAGACCCCGGATAGAGACCGTTCGTACATCGGGCAGCACGCCTAGCAAAGCTACCCCCGCGTCGAGATATTCATCCCCTGACGAACAGTTTATTTTATCGAAGACAAACGGAGGCGGGCGCGTTGACGAGCAGCGTACTACTGAAGCTCATACTCGCAATACCTCGCCTATTGCATCAGATCTACCCCCTACCAATAGGGAGAAGGACAAACAGCGAATGGCAAACAAGGAGATAATAAGCCTCCGGAACGCTCCGGCATCTGCCCCGACCATTCAACGGCATACAAACGCCCTGCAGGACGACGAAGACGTCGCATTCATTTCAAGTAATCCGCGCCCTCGTATGGCAAACCCTACCAAGAAAGGATTAATCAGAACGGAAAGCAACAACACCAGCACCACGCCATTCGCAGAGAAGGAACCTCTCAATCCGCTGCTGTCGGGGCTCTCCACCCCGAAAGCCTCGAAGCCCACCAGGGACAGCATCATTGCAGAGACGCCGCCCCGAAAGACAGCCGGCCCGGCCAAATGGACCACTCAGCATCCGGCAGTACGTAGGAGCCTGCCAGCCTCATTCTCCGACGCCCGCCCGCCTCCCGCCTCGATGCCGCCCAAAGCTTCAGGACTAGTGACAAGCCCGGCGGCGAGCCCCTTGCCGAGCAGTACACCAAACAACACGCTCCCTAACTTTTTCCAGGAGAGCCGTGTGAAGAAACCCAAACAAAAGACGGAGAGGACGGAGAAGGAGGGGAGGAAAGTAGCTTTGGCCAAGATGCAGAGGATGTTGAGAGAAGGGCGATATGCTCCACCGTCCAGCACGATGCCCCCAAGGTCTTGAAGGGTTAAGACAGGTCGGGCATCGTTTTACTTACAGTCTTCATTCGCGCATCAGTTTTGTAAGTTTAGATGAGATGGCGTGCGTCGACGTACGAAGCCATCTCAGTATAGGGCTCGAAGTGGTCGACCAGTGCGGCTTTCTAGTAGTAGCTGGTCAAGGTTCACTTCGTACCGCCCAGAATTCTCTTTTCTTGCAACATGGAACGTGGAAAGCATATCTTGGGACGCACTGGGTTTAGGGAGGAAGGCTTGATTTCAGTATAATACCCCTTTCGTAGCGTGTTGGTAGCAGGCATCGATTTTATTAGACCACAGGTGCGAGAAGGCCACGAGTGGCAAGCTGATGCTAGTCTTCAAATAATAAGGCTAAGGTCTACAATTGCTCTGGCAATCAATCTGTCTAGACTGGATCTAGTAGTGCTTTTTCGTGCCCGGCTCTCTGGAGAGTCTTGAAGGTGTCTATGTCCCCTAGAAAAAACATTTCGCCGGCCCGAAGATGCTTCCCGTCGTATCCTAGTTGTAAATAAGGTGAGGGTGAGGTTTGCTTGGATTTCCGTGCCGCAGCAAAAAAGCATGAGCCGACGTCGTATAGGTAGTGTTCAAGAAAAAAACCCATTGTCTCTCCAATGTCCCCCCCATAGCTGCCCTGCGATTGTCCAATATTCCGTCATGTCTCAAAGGTCGTATCACTCGTGTCATTACACCCGCCGAGGTCGCCCCCAGGGGAATGTTGTGTTGTGGGTATATGGTTTTCATGGTGTCTGTAAATAGACTCAGGTCGAGTCCTCGGAAGCCTGGGCCTCGGCAGCCTTCTTGGCCCTTTGTCTTTCTTCCTCTTCAGGGGTGAGAGTCTTGAGCTGGAGGGCGTGGATGCCGCCCTCGCGGGCCATCTCCTCGCGGAGAAGGGCGTAGACCATGCGGTGGCGGGCGGACTGCATCTTGGACTTGAATGATTCAGAGGTAATGACAAGTCTGTGCGACCGTTGTTAGTAAAGGGAGTTTCGGGTTTGAGGAACAATAGCGTGAAGGTTCTCGTACCTAAAGTGTGTTTCCTTGGAAGTGCTACCGGCCATAGCCTTGTGGTGGCTGTGAAGGTGGGAGTCGTTGTAGATTTCGAGGGTGGTGGGGGAGAAGGCCGCGGTCACCTGAGGTCATTCGGTCAGCAATGTTGGTTCTCGGGTACCTATTGACAATGTCTCAACCGCATGGTATCGCACCTTGGACCGTATAGCGTCTTCAACGGGGTTGGCGGAAGCCATAGTTCCGTGGGGTCTGGCAGCGCCCGAGAAGCCGAGGGCGTATCTTCGCAACATTGGTGTGTATAGTTGAGTGGTTCCTCCGGTCAAGCTACTCCCAATCCTGCCGACAATGGGGCGGAATGTGTTCATGGGGAGTAGAAGGAGGGAGGAAAGAAGAGGAGAGGAGAGGAGGTTTTCAAGTAAAAGTAGGATGCGGCGGCGGCGGCAGCAGCGTGCGGCGACCGAGAAGCGGTAAGGAGGTGTAGAAACTGAACAGGGGAGAATAAGAAAGCTGCCCTTGCGCGTGTGTACCGGTGTGCGGTGTGGGTTGTGATTTGCTGTGACTTGCTAGCCCAATACCTTTTTTTTTTTTTTTTTTTTTTTTTGGGTTGGTATGGAGGGGGGGGGGGGGGGGGGGGGGGGGGGGGGGGGGGGCGGGGGGGGGGGGGGGGTTGGGGGGGGGGGGAAGAGGGTTTTTTTTTTTTTTTTTTTTTTTTGGGTTTAGGTAGAAAGCGAGAGCGGGAAGCAGAGAAATGGAGCCGCTGCCGCGTGTGCAAAAGGTACGGTGTGCAAAAGTGTGACCCTGGAACTTGGGACTGGGAGCCGAAGCATGGATGATGGGAGATGGGGGTGGGTGACAGAGAGAGAGAGAGAAAGCAAGAAGGAAGAGGAGGATGAGTGGATGATGGAGAAAGCACAATGGAGGGAGACGAGCAAATGGGATGGCAAGCAGCAGATTTCCCTCAAGACCCCGGCCAGGTACGTCGTGGAAAAAGAAGGCAGAGAAGGTTCGGTGTATCGGTGAGGAAAGAGCGGACATGCGGGATGGGCTTGGCAGGCAACATGGCACATGCGTCCCGGCCAATCAGCAGACCGGGGGCCTGGCCTCTGTCCTTCCGGTTGGTAACCGGCGGACCCGCACCGGGGACGCAGTGCCAAACTTCCAGCAAGACAACCAGACAGCGTTGCGATGAGAAGGTGCATGGGCGACAGGACTTGGGGCATGCTGGCAGCTGGCCGGGCCCACGGGTTATTCTCTTTCATCCGTCTCAAGAACACCTACGTACCTTAGTTGCCTTATCTACATAGTAAGGCAAATCTGCTTGCTTACGAACGCCTTATTCCTCGTTTTGCTGCACATTCTTCCACGGGCACTCGCACACGGCACAAGCAAGTAAGATGGGAGAGTCAGCGTTGCCACCCATCTTCCCGGTTGGGTTGTATTTTTGGCCTCTCAGGTCTTGGAGAGATGGCTTCCTTCCCCGCCGTGCCCGCCATGCCCGCCTGCCTCGTGTCAGTGTGAGGTGGTCGACCGAGTTAGCTTTGCTTTTGCAGTACTTGCGTGTCAGTGACTCTGTTATGCCCACCGCCCTTTTTTGCTTCGTGGAACCAGACCCCGGAGGCCTTACCGTCCCAGGTTTCTTAGTGGTCCAAAGACGCTAACGCGCGCGTTGAGATTGGGTGGACCAAAAGAAGCCCGACCTAGAACAACTGGGGAACACTGAACAAGCAGCGACAACAAAAACAACAACACATGGGCACCCGACACACCTTGGATGACTCCTCCGCCCATCGTGCCCTGCTGGCTCCATTCTGCTCACCGCGTGTTTGCTGAACGATACCCTCCCCGACCCCCAACCCTCGTCACCACGCACTGCAAAAGGCTCAAGGCGGGTGACAACGAATCTCCGCACTGCTAGAGTCTCTCTTGAGTCTTGAGCACGCCTGAGTGACAGGGCACCATTGAGCACCTGATCATCTAGATCTCTCGGTTCCAGAATACCAGCTGTTCGCTCACAATGCCGCCAATGCATGCGGGCGGGGAAACCAAGAGGACTCTTGGAGAGAGCTTCCAGGAACCTTGCAAGGATACCGAATGTAGTGACGTGTGAGACGGTAACATCGTTGGTCGGCAGCGGACAGAGATGCAGCAGAGTCACCACCATCACCACCATCACCACCCAAAACTGCCCAGCGGGATGCAGCAGCAATAGCAGAAACGTCCAGCGAGCCACAAGTATCAATACCTTGGCACACTTGGGCATCTCATACTCGGAGGTTTACCCAGACGCTACACGATGGAGGGACGGATAGGCAGAGGTAGGTGCCGCTTGGGAAACTTCGGCCGCTTCGAACGGTCCCCCCACCCGCGCTAGATATCCTAGGACCAGGTACATTGGACGTGGACCGATGCATCACAGTATCTGAATAATCCCATGGCGCTGGGCCGTGAAGACGCACCAACAACCACGGTCCAATATGGCGATATCCACGCAGGCGCACACACCACCTGACGGGTCTCCTCTGCGCGTCTCTGGTTTTCACAGACTCAACCACACTTCCCCTTTCCCCTCCCACTTCGGAGCTCCATAAAAAATTCAAGCCTCAGCTAGAGGGAGGAAGCGGCTAAAGAGTCCGGGCAAGCCACACTCGACGACCTAAGTTTTCCGTCCGGTCTTCGGCAGATCCTGCTGGCGGTCCTGCAGGGAGAAGTCCGATCCGGGGACCTGACAGAAGCCAGCCAAAAATTATTACCAGTTTTCCACCCACACGCACCCAGACGATACTCCCACGCTGCCACGCTGCCGCAATTCACCTACCAGATCCGAGAGCAACCATCGAACTCCCGGGGTCCGTTCCCCCGCCCCCCCCAATATCCACTCCGCCACAGCTCCGTGTTCCCGATCCTCCTTTAATCATAACGCAATTGATAACGACGCATATCTATCCCCCTTCTCCCCCCACCCCCATGTTGGCCTCCGGTTTGCGGAATGTAGCTCGACGGCCCGGCTGCTGCTGTTGCTGCCGAATATCCCCCTTCTCAGCCGCTCCCGCCAACCTCGCCGCCGCCGTCGCCGGTGCTACAGCTCCCGCAAGCTTCTACTTCTCCCGTTCCGCATCCCGATCCTTCGCCGCCGCCGCGCGCACATCGCAAACCCCAAGCATGGCTTCAACAACATCCCTCCCGAGGATCCCTCTCTTCGAGGCCATTTCCCGGCACGACCCCGAGTCCACCGCCGTGATTCACTCCCTGTCCGGCCGCCGCTTCAAGTACGGAGAGCTTCTTGGCGACGTGCGCCGTGCGCGGAACAAGCTCTTGGACTCGGCGGGCAAGCCGGATCTCAATGGCGAGCGCATCGCATTCTTGGTAGAGAATAGTTACGACTATGTAGGTAAGCCACGTCGGTCGCATAGCCCCCCCTGATACAGCGCAAAAAGCAAACTTTGTCGTAGCACAAGCAATGCGCCTCAGCTCTGACATTCACTTGATTCCTAGTGACCCTCCTGGCCGCCTTTGCTGCGCGATCAATTGCTGTACCTCTTTCGCCGGCCTTCCCCGCCGCCGAGCTACAATACATTTTAGACCAAAGCGAAGCCTCCCTGCTCGTCTCTTCGGCCAAGTTCGCCGCGAAAGCGAAGGAGGTCCTCGCCAAGGAGCTCGTCTCAAGTCCTACGCAAGTCGAGCTCCAGAAGCATCTCGGTGGCAGCACGCATGAGCAGGTTGAGCTCGACGACGCCGACGCCGATGGCGCGGGCATGATGCTGTACACTTCCGGCACCACCAACAGACCGGTTCGTTAGCCCTTGCTGGACCAAATTGGCTAAGCTCAGAGCAGATCACTAACATCCGCTCAGAAAGGTGTCCTTCTTCCTCAATCCGTCCTGACGGCGCAATCGAAATCCCTAATCGAAGCGTGGAACTACACCCCGGCGGACCACCTCCTACACGTTCTCCCCCTGCACCACATCCACGGCACCGTCAACGCCGTCCTCACGCCACTGTTGTCCGGCTCCACGATCGAGTTTATGTTCCCCTTCAACGCCGACGCGGTGTGGAAGCGCCTCGCCGCGCCCTATATCACCACCAACGGCACAAACGGTCAAAACGGCACCAATGGTGTCAATGGCACTAACGGCGTAAACGGGGCACACAACATCCCCAAGGAGAAAATCACCTTCTTCACCGTCGTGCCAACCGTCTACTCCCGCCTCCTCGCAACGCACAAATCCCTCCCCCTCGACCCCGCCGAGCCGACCCGCGAAGCCGTCTCCCCGCGCAACATGCGCCTCGCCATCTCCGGCTCAGCAGCCCTCCCGACGCCTATCAAGGAGGCCTGGAAGACACTCTCCAAGGGCAACGTCCTCCTCGAGCGCTACGGCATGACAGAGGTCGGTATGGCTCTCTCCTGCGGCCTCGATTTCGCAGACCGCGTCGATGGCAGCGTCGGCTGGCCCCTGCCCGGCGTCGAGGCCCGCCTCGTCGACATGGACACCGGCCTCGTCATCCCAGCCGGCGAGGACATCGACCCCAAAACGGGCCGCGAGCGCTCCGGCGAAATCCAGCTCCGCGGCCCTACAATCTTCAAAGAGTACTGGCGCAACCCGGAAGCGACGGCCAAGGAGTTTGTCGAGGGCGAGGACGGCAGGGGCAAGTGGTTCAAGACGGGCGATGTCGCCGTTCGAAGACCGGTAGCCAACGCCGGGCTCAACGCCGCGCAGGCGTCCTGGGCAAAGGGCGACATGTACTTTATCCAGGGCCGCAAGAGCGCCGACATCATCAAGACGGGCGGCGAAAAAGTCAGCGCCCTCGAGGTCGAGCGCGAGCTGCTCTCGCTGCCCGAGGTGGCCGAGGCCGCCGTCGTCTCCGTCCCCTCGGGCAAGTGGGGCTCCAAGGTCGGCGCCGTCGTCATCCTCAACACGGACGTCGTCCCACACTGGTCCCCCATGGCCATGCGGAGGGCTCTCCGGGATCGGCTCGTTAACTACAAGATTCCCCAGGTGCTCAAGGTCGTCGACCACATCCCCCGCAACGCCATGGGCAAGATCAACAAGAAACAACTGGTCCAGGCCGTCTTCGAGGACCAGTTTAGCGGCGATGAATTGTAAGAATAGCAATGAGGCATGAGCGCTACTGCTCCATCAACAACATGAGATATATATACCTGTTTGACTAAGACATGGAGGGGTGCTGCATAGATTAAAGATAGACAAATTATACCTTGCTGAGAAGGAAGAATAGAATTAACCCCCTCGCTTCGCAAAGGGTGCGCACCAGGGCATTCTGGCCTAAACCTAGGTATCTATTCCGGATATTCGCATCCGCCTATGTACTATCGATCATGGCCGTCTAGAAGTTCCATAAAACCCATTGATCTCTTTTTTCGTTCTCAGCAACGCCTTGATCAAGAGCTCCAAAGACTGTCATAAGAGAGAACTTTTTCCGCCCCAGAGATGCGTTATCATCGATGCATAGCGTAGCATTGCCCCCGTATTCCCCCCACTGGCATCAGGCAAAAAACAAAAAAAAGAAGTTGGCTGAGAAAGTGCGACGAGGAGTGATATCGTGCAGACGTAAGTCGGCCTCCTCGATAGGTAGAGGAGCCAATCGGTTCCAATAAAATGCATTGGTGGGTGTAGGTGTAAGCGTGTGTAAGTCGTGTTGTTCTTCAAAGGTTGGGTCCATCTCTTTAGACAGTGTGCTTGGCCTTTGCACGGCTGCTTCCGCTGTGTGCGCTGTCCGTGTGGCCAGAAAACTCAACGACCTCGTTGGCCGGGAGGTTCAGGATGTCCTTGAAGCGCTTGCCGATGTTCAAGAGGATATCACGGCCCTTATCCTGAGAACGACCCTTGCCACCAGCCACATCTCCGTCACCACGGCCAGGAATGCTCTTTCCAATGGTACGGGTCCAGACACCGATACGGAAGAAAGCCTTGCGCACGTTGACGACAACGCCCATGACCTCTCCGTCGTCCTCGGCCTCGAGGGTCTCGCCAATAGCGGCCAACATGACGTGGAGCCAAAGATCATCAATGGGGATGCTGCGCTTCTCCTTGAACTGGTAGGACCACTTGCCGCCGTGCTTGTTCTGGGCATCCTCCCACTCGGGGCGGACACCGGCCTTGAAGAGGTGGTAGTCGGACTTGAGGGCAAGCTCAGAGACAGGGGCGATGTTGTTCTGTTCAATGATTAGCCAGCGATAAGGGGGGCCGCGGGGAAAGAAGGTGCGCATACATAGACACCCCAAAACTCCTCGACCGAGTTGAACGTGATGACCTCCTTCAGAAGATCGTTCCAGTTATCGCCCTGCTCGATGTTAGTATTTAGCCGCCTGTAGTTTACAATCAGGGCAGACGGACCTTGCCACTGGGGGGTTTGGTGAACCAGAGAGTCCACTTGTTCTGCAGAGGGTGCTTGACGTTGAAATTCTCCTTGTCGTGGAATACGGTAACGGGCTTCTCCGAATCGTTCTCCTTGGTCTCGCTCTTCTCACCACCCTCGGGGGAGATGGGGATGGTGGAGAGGTCGACCTGTTGGTCGGGGTTCGTAGGTGTTTGCACAGAAGTCGCCATCGTGAACGGGTTTGTTGTGGTGTTTCCGGGCTGATTACGGATCGGACCGATGAGGGGTAGAATAGGTGGTCAGAGGCGCTAGGGAGTAATCTCTGGGAGAAAAGGCGACGATGGCTATCTCGGAGGGTAAAGAAACCAAAGGGGGGAAAAGTTCGCTGGTCGCGGTGGTAGGTGGAAGAGTTGGAAAGTGGGATGGTTCCGCACGAGAGTTGCAGAAGGTGGTGGTGACGACGGCTGCTCGCTTCACTGTTGGGAAAGTACTAGAGGACGATTGCTTCCTTCCAGATATTCGAATGTGGGGGAGGTTCCGACGTTGCGCCAGGCAAGTCAGCAAGGATCGGAATGGGCGGATTAGAAGGGAGGATAGAACGGGCGTTGACGTTCTTTCTCGCAGGTAGACGACGAGGTCAAGAATTGGGAATTTGCGATGGGTTTTGCACTTTGCGAGGGATTGCGCGCAGGAGATCGTAGTCTGAGAAAGCGAAAGAGAGAGAGAGAGAGAGAGAGAGAGAGCCTTTGCAATCGCAAAAAAATGCCCAAGCGGGCTTGGCCAACGGGATGGGAGCAAGACGTCGAAAGAGTGGGGTCTAGGAAGGTGTACGGATACCTCTCACCTCTGTGGAGGGCGAAGTCTTTTTTTTTTTATTTTTGCGCAGGGCACCTCACAATTACGACCTAGCACAGCAAGCACGTCAGGCAGATGCCACACCCACTCAGTGCGGTCCCGGGATGTTAGGGCGAAGGAAAGCCCCGACACCAGTGGGATCCCAGGTGAGGTGAGCCCGGGCCCCGGGCAGGGCCCTTTGCCCACCTGGTCAAGGTGAGAGCGGAGGCGAGGTGAGCCCAGCCCGATGGATACGGTCACCAAAGGTAAGGATAGAAGGAAGCGAAGGGGAAAGAAAAATCCACGGTCGGACTGGTCCCGTTCAAGACCAGGTCTGCGGAAGCTTAAGCAGCCCAGTGGAGGTCCATTGCTCCAATAGTTGCACTTCTCAGCCAACAAACCTTGCAAAGCCGTGTCGTGTTGTGAGGCTTGTTGAATGTCTGTCTTCAACGCCATGCAATCCGTTTCGCCAGTGTTGGGTTGCTTTTCTTCTCTCTTTCTTTTCAAGACTAGCGGTCTGACAGTCTTGACTTTTGGCTTACGTTGCCTGCCGTTGCTCAAGGCTAAGAGGTCAGATAACTTTCTTTCCTGTCTTCACATTCAACCATGTCCAACAACCTCAGACGAAGCTTCCGGCTCCTAGGGTTGTGCTTGCTACTTTTTCACTCCTGTCATCCGGATTGTTCCTTCTTCCCTATTTCCATTTCTCTGCCAGCTATTTGCAGCATATTACAGTACGGATAAGGTACTCCGTACTCGGCCTGAACCGAGCGCCGCCTCCTGGCCCCGCCTCCTGGCCCCTTCCTAAACCAAAAGACACATCCTTGTTTCAACATCACGCTCTTTTCTGGCCTCGAAGCACTAGGTTCTTTTTTTTTTGGCTTCAATCTGCGGGGCCTTTTCCAGAAGCTTTCTCTCCCGTTGCTCCGTGCATCCAATGACTTGAAAAGCTATTGTTTCCTCTCGGCCCTCTCAGGTGAGGTGGTCAGAGCAAATCTCTCTCACCTAGAGTCAAATGAGACGCAAACTGAGTATTATCTTATCACCTTCTACACCCTGTGCTGCAATCGAAAACTCAAGCTAGTCGAGCTTGGCCTGAAGCGGTGATGGCTCCAGGGTTGGTTTCGGCCAGGCCGCTCTGCTTGTTTCAGTCATTGCACACACTCCGCCCCACGCGGTTCGAGGCTCTATTGACGTCGCCTCAATGGATACCTATGAGGCACAGTCCTTCTGGGGGAGAGGCCGACATTGTGCTCAAATTTGAGTGAAGGGAACAAGACGGTTGCTTTTGCTTCATTGAAAACCGCCTGCTTCCGTTGAACAGAGCCACGATGGGAATGCAGGGCGGCAGAGGAGTTAGCGGTCTTTGTTATACTGCCAAGTGCCTGTGTAAATAGTAATCACCTCGGTGGACGTCCTATCTTGGGAACGCGGCGCCAGGTGCCAAGTATTGGAGACACACAACACTTACATCGATGATGCTTATCGAGTGGCCTATGTCGCCCATCTTCCCTTGGATTCAAACAATATCAGCGGAACCACGGAACAATGGGCGAGCCGTTTAGGTAGGAGAGCATCCTTCAATGGTAACTTAGAAGGTAGGTAGTTGAGCAAGTGAGTTGGCATTCAAAAACTCGGGCCAGCGCTGCAAGAGACGTGTCTGCGATGTGTACGGGTATGGTCGCTATCAAAAACTACAACAAATTAAAAGCAAATCTACGCATGTTTGACATCTTCAGTCAGTCTGAAACCTCAACTACTCGTCAAAGTTCTCTAGCGATAAATCACATTTTTGTTAATCACCAGAGCACTACAGATGCCGCCACGACGCCCGGGGTCACACGGCCCGGCTTGTAGCGAGGCTTGCAGTCCAGAGGAGCAGAAGAAGCGGAGGGGCACAATAGCAGATCCATCGGCAACCAAAGCATTTGCCTCCAAAGACCTCGAGGCTTTGGAAGGGTTCAACCCCGAGAGACTCTTTCTCCAATGGGGTCTTCCACGCGCTCAACTCACAGACGACTTCTTTACACATCATTATGCTGCCATCATATCAACATAAATCTCCATGTCAATGAGGTATTCCGAGTTGGAAACATTCCGCCCCCAGGGCCTGTATGGTCCGTAGTCATTGGCGACAAGAGCTTGGAATTGGAACGTACCATCGAGAAGGTTGCTCGGCCAGATCCCCGGGACTCAAGCCCTTGGGATGACTTGATGGTCTGCAATTACAAACGGATATTCGTTATGAGAGCCTTTTTTTTGAGGCTTTTCATGGATCAGATATTCTCGATACAGCTATTTGGCGCAGACAATCAACAGCGGCTCTCGCTACTCCATCAAGACAAGCAATTTATCGGGCACGAAGGTTGGTCTCCCCATTATACCCTACAAACTACGAACAAGGCATAGTAATTGATCGCTTTGTAGGTTTCAAGCGATCGAAATTGAGAGCAACAACAGTGGCATTGCTGTTGGAAGAGAGTTGTGGCCTTCCGCCTCTGTTTTGGAAACAAGTGGACCATTATGCCATGAAGACGTTTTTGCTTATAAGGCCTGTCCTGACCTGGGTGAGAATGACCTGGCCCAACGATGCCCCGAACCCATCTGTTCGGTCAATCTTCCAGATGATTCATCACGACGTAGCCTATGCGGCTTGGCTTTCCGTCAACATTCGTCTGACCCATACGATTCTTCACTTTGACTGGCGCCAGCCCGGCGACCACTACCTTCCGGGCCAGGTTGAGCTCACAGATCCGGGAGTAATGCCTATACTATACGACGCCTTACTGAGCCCAGAGTCCGATGTGGCCGTTACTCCCCCATACCATGCCGCCCAACTACCATTGCAACCGGTGCGATCGAGAGTGATGATTTCCTTTGTACCTCTCGTTCAGAGGGTCTCGCTTGTCATGGGTGCCAACGGCGAAGAGCCCATTGGCTGTCAGAGGACAAGATTGTTGGAGTCTCGGTCGGCCTACTATACCGAATTTCTTAACAACACGGGTGCTTTTGATCTGTTCGACGACTCGCTTGCAGACCATGCATATGAGATGAGGCGATCTCGTCAATCCTTCCGATCTGCCCTCCATAACACTAGGTTTCTATCGACGTGGGCAGTCATGCTGCTCGTGTTGTATTCTCTTTCAGTTCGCCTACTTGCAGGGCACGCGAAAACCTACGGAACCAAGACACAGTAGGTGATGGACTCTACAGAAGGTCTGTCGTCTGTTCGTATCGTGACCCGGCAGACTGGTGAGGAGCAAATTTTGTGCCAAAAACCTACGTTTGTTTTCAACTAGCTTTGATTAGATCTGAGATGGCGAGTTCCGGCGTTGGCGGCATAGCTTATTTACACGTAAGAATCGAATGGGCTTCTTTTTCAACTGAAGATTGAGCGAGCAATGGAACTCACGATACCAGATGTCACTGGAGAGGGTGGAATATGTGTTCAACTATGGTAGCTAGCGCAAGGCAACATGCAACTCGCTAGAGGACTTCTAAACAGAAATCACTACCACTTTATCATCACCCATTCAGTTATAGTCCATGACCACTTGTAAAACTCCTAGGCACCTGAATTTTCCATACTTTTATCAAAAAAAAAAAAAAAAAAAAAAGAGACATAATGGCCGGCAATCTAGACATAAAAAGCAAAATAATTGCGTCGAGGGGGAATCGAACCCCCGGCTCCCCGACGCTGCTTGATGGCAACGGAGAATTTTACCACTAAACCATCGACGCAGACGATGAGATCCGGATAGTAAGGCCGGAATACCTGGTTGAGCTCGTGGTGAGGATATGATGATTATATTCCAGAACGATTTAGTGTTGTGTGTGGGGAAGGTGGATTCATGCATGAGGGCTTCGGTGGCTCGCGAGTTGCGTTCTCGGTGTGACTGACAATTGCAGCGGCCCGTGCTTTGAAAACGGCACCTCGCAAATTGTCCGGCTGACAGACGGAGAGAGGAAGAGAGATTCCAACGGGTAGAGTGGCCTATCTAAAAGCCTTGCTTTCACTCTCGGCCGACAACGTCGGGTTGTTTCTGCAAAAACGACGTCGGCCGTTCGTCTGAACGGGAAGGCGAGAACCAATCGTTTGACAGGCACTGGCAAAGTTGGAAAGGATCCCTCCAATAACTCCCTGAGGGGCACCGACCGTGGTAGGTAGGTACCTTAGACACATGTGCGTGGGACGGGGTCATGGCCAAAAGGGAGTCTTTTGTGGCTGGGCACCCGATTTCGGGGAGCCCGATATATCTGCATGAAGGCCTTTTTGGCTGAGCAGTCCCGGAGACAGAAGAGTTGAGCAACTTGAGACCAGTTTGCCGCTGGAAGGAAGGGGTCTCCCATGGGATTGCCAGAGAAAGCCGAGCGTCCACTGCCAGGCATCTGGGTTGCTTGTCCAAGTCGAGTCAGGCGGTGAGAAAAGCAATGTCATGGCCCCAAGCGCTTTGAAGTGGTGCTAAGCGCCGGTACCTGCACGCGGGAGGGATGGAGGTTAGGTAAGGTTAGGTAGGACGAGGAACAGGCCCCAACAGGGCATTGGGGACACAATGTAAGGCGCTGCAGGTATTCGACAGTCAGGACGGGTATTTTGGTATTTATGACGGCGTTCTTTGCTTAGTCAACAAGACATTGCTTGAAGGCAAAGAAGACAGTGCCATCCACTGCGTACAGTTGCGAGGTACCGGGATGCCGCCAGCCACCATCGAGAGGCTCTCAAACAGTCTCCCGAGTCGGGTCAACACACGGGTCTCACGGTGGCAGCGCAGGCGAAGCGAGAAAATGGCGGGCCGGGATCCGATAAGATAAGAGACAGCCCACCAACAAGGGCCACAGCGGGATGAAATGGCAAAAAATTGCTACGCCGCGATCGAATCTCGAATTTTTGTGGCATGGTGCTAGGCCGGTCTCAGCGCTGGAGGG